GGTCTAACTACAGTTTCCATTAAGAAAACCATTCCCAATGCAGATGCCAGAGTGAACAGAGTGCTCAGAGTTGTTAATAAATACACTGAATTAGAAAATGTCTCTATATGAACAATACATCTGAGCTAGCCAGATTAGAGGATTATGTTTCCCACTGCAGCAGTTCATATTATGGTGACACAGAAATGTCAAGAATAACAGAAGTTACTGCTGAGGCATTTGAAAAACTGAAATTAAAAACCATGACTTTAAAACAAAACAAAAAAAAATAGAAAGATTCACAAAATAAATTAAGCAAGACACTGCAGAAGTAAATAAAACCTGAGTAGAAGTTACTCAACTGAATTGACAAAAGTCATTAAAAGGTCAGGTCTCATACCATTCTGCGTCACACACCAAAAACAGGGGATCCATCTTCTAACCTGCAGAAAGGGGGGCATTTAAGATTAATTTAATCAGTTTACCTCTTAGTAATTCAAAACTTTCTAGAAGTATACTTGCATCTAGGGAAAGTTGCAGAATGTCTCTTTGAGAAAACTAGTTAGTCATCTTGCTCTCAAAAGATTGGAGGGGGGTTGGGGGGTGTCCTCATGTCATGGTTTAACCCCAGTTGGCAACTGAGCCCCACACAGCTGCTCGCTCACTCCCCCCCCGGTGGGATGGGGGAGAGAATCAGAAGGGTAAGAGTGAGAAAACTCATGGGTTGAGCTAAAGACAGTTTAACCGGTAAAGCAAAAGCCACGCACGCAAGCAAAGCAAAACAAGGAATTCATTCACCCCTTCCCATCGGCAGGCAGGTGTTCAGCCATCTCCAGGAAAGCAGGGCTCCATCACGGGTAACAGTTACTTAAGACAAACTCCATCACTCTGAACATCCCCCCGCCTCCTTCTTCTTCTTCCCCCAGCTTTATAGGCTGAGCATGATGTCGTATGGTCTGGGATATCCCTTAGGTCAGTTGGGGTCAGCTGTCCCAGCTGTGTCCCCTCCCAACTTCTTGCGCAGCCCCAGCCTCCTCACTGGTGGGGTGGGGTGAGAAGCAGAAGAGGTCTTGGCTCTGTGTAAGCACTGCTCAGCAGTAACGAAAACATCCCCAAATTGTCAATGCTGTTTCCAGCACAAATGCAAAACATAGCCCCACACTAGCTACTGTGAATAAAATTAACTCTATCCCAGCCAAAACCAGCACACCTCAGAAAGAAGATCCTCATGTAAAACAAGCCAAATTGTCTAAACACATAAACATCTTGCTTTGAAACCTCATCTCATTTCCTAAAACTATGTTCCTGTTTGTTTTTATTGTGGTTACCATAAAAACAGTATTTGTTCCATCTTGCAATTTTTACTAATAACTGCAGAGTAAGTTGCATGTTAAGTTACCACATCAAGAGTAAAGAAGCCAAGACTGCAAGTTTTGGCATTTTACTGCTGCCAGCCACAAAAATTTAAAACATGCAGAAAGAGAAATACAACTACAATGGGAAAAAAAAAACCAAACAAACTAAAGACAAAGCTCTGTCATTACTTCTTATTAACCTTTAGTTCTATGTCATATCCTTCTTGCAAGTGCCTCAGAGCATTCTTCTTGTTTCCCATTGCTTCTCCTCTGTTTCTCCATCTCCTGGTCTACTAACTCCCAGCAATAATCTCCTTCCTTTATATTCCATTTCACCTTATGTCTTCTCTTGCTTGCTTTCTCACTCCACCAGCTCCAACTGCATCAATTTCATACTTGCATAAGCTACCCAACTGATAACTCCTACCCTCCCTTTTCCTTCCAAACTTAGTGTTTATCAAATTTTTTCACTAGGCTACACCTCCTGCCTAGATCTTTTCTAAGCCTACTACTGCAGACAGTGCTTTTGCTGCCAATATGCTTTACCTTGGTGGGTGCACAGGCTCTGCACCTCTACCCTCCCAGTGTCCAAGCCAAATGTGGGCAGTACGAGCTGCTCCGTTCCCCTCCAAAACATCCAAAAGTTTTTACTGGCTGAAACACCACCTCCCCTTCCTGCAGGCTGTGGAAGGGAAACACTGAGCTATTGTGAAGTTTCCATTCCCAGCAAAGACAACAAGCTTTTCAACCTCAAGTCAAACTGAGAAATCTGCTTCTCACACTAGGGGACAGAAAGTAATGTAGTTGAGAGTCACAAACTAGATAACGACTTTAATTTAATATTGGGATTAGAAAACATAAGAAAAACTACAATTACTAGAAGTTCACGTTTAAAAAAAAGATCAGCCTACCCACAATTTATGGAAACTTCTTTGGTTCAAAAAAGTGGGAATTACTATCTTTTATGAAGTTAATTACAGAGTATAAACAAGGTAACTGATGTCTTTGAACTACCATAGCCTACTCTGAATTTAATAAGTATTTGCTTTCAGTTTTCTGAGAGCTGTTGTTTCAACAGTTTCTTTTGCATTATTGAAAATAATTTTTTTTAAAAAACATAATGCTTATATGATTATTAGGACCATAAATAATACAAAAAACTTTATGAACTCTATAACGTTATATAAACTATTACTGTGCAATTTAAACTAACATTTGAGAGACTTTATTTTCAGCATTTCTTTAATTTTCTTCAGACTTCTGACACAAACAGCTTCTCTGACTCATCTGTCTCCCCAGTCTCCTATCATTGCTCTTATTGCTGACTCACACAGTATCACTCTTCTACTTTAAATCACAAACAATGTTGCTATGCTAATGCCACATACGTAATAACCATCACATTCTTTTCTTTCTTTTATAACTTTGCATAGTCACAAGGTAGTACCATAATATAGGAAAGATTCAAACATCATTGTCCTTTCCTTTGCCTTTTTTATCATCTCTTTGCAATTGAAGATACTTTTAATAATCTCCCTAGTCTTTTGTGGCCATATGAGACAGCAGTATTGCCCAGTGAATTGTAACCAAATAACACATTTCCTTCTTTGTTTTTTGATCTGTTACAAAGGTCTAATTTCTATTTTACCAGAAAAATCTTGGTTGTGAATTAGCAACAGGGATTTCTACTCAGTCATATCTAACTCTGCAGGCAGGTTGTTCCTTCATACCCCATTTCTAGCAATGAGACAGTCCCAAGCTGCTACTATCACATAGAGAATCCTTAGATAAACCTGTCCTGAGTTTAGAGAGAGTTTACATGTTTATCCTGAATAGGTGGAGCTACCACCTTGCTCTGAACAGGGCACGCTTACTGGTTACAAGATAAATCTATACATAGCAACATGACAATTTAGGAAAAAAAAACAACCAAGAATTAGAGAATAAAATAAAGACCCCAGATTAATGACACTTTTTTCTGGATTGGCAGTTGCTCAGCCCAGACGATGCCACAGCAGATCTTCCTGTAGCTCACCAAACTCTGTCTAGAAGAATGGCATTGTACATGATGGCCAGTGCCTCTCTGTACGCCTCAGAGCCCTCCCACCCTGAGACACAAACACACACTCCTTTTCTTGAGGAAAATCAATTCAAGTGTGTTTGTGAAGCACAGCGAGATCCAGAAGGGAGACTTGGCTTTGGCATTGCAATAACCAACTCCTTGGCTTCCTACTGTCTGATGTAAACTACTCTCCCCAGCTAGATAGATCACTTTACAAAACTTGGAGAGAAACTGAAACGTAAGGAACAAGCCTCAAAAGTCAGTAGACTGAATAGAGGCCCATTCAAATTAGATCATTATAAAACACCACCCTCCCTTAACCACCTGAAGAACTTGGATCTTGTTGCTTGCCTGGAGGAGTTCACCACCATCTCTATGATTGCCACCAGCAAACTTTGCCTGGAGAAAGACCAGTAGCCCAAGGGAGACTTTTCTTACAGCACAGCTTTAATGAGGGAAGGGCGGGGGGGAAAAACATATTTATCTCTGAATATTTCAGAACTGTCCACAGCATCTCCAGGTAACTGTGTGAGCCCTAAATCAGCGAGAGATCTGATCCTCTCTTTGGGCAAGATACCACACCTTAGGGGTAGGGGTTAACTACCAGGCAAAAGGAGGTGCAACCTATTGACCTAAGCCATTTGGGCTCCTCTGCATATGAAATAAACTTAAGTACTACTGCATCCAGCCCTACTTCAAAGATCAGCCCTTTGCCTTCCTCTCCCACTAGCACCATTTAAAAGAAAGAAAAGCTCTGTGCCTTTCAGTACCTGCAGAAGGCTGAGATTTGGGGGGTTGATACAGGCATGTCTGACTGATTTTTCATATTAAGGGGAACCTGGAGAGATATATAAAAATGACATCTGGAGCTCTTCCTTCCATGAGCATTCCTTAAGTGTCTGTTAGTGAATCGAATGATTCTATTACAACCCTGTTTGTTGGTGTGATTTTATGTTGTCCCACATGGTTTTATATGTTTGGGTCTTTTTTAACTTACGAACTAAGTTAGATGTATTTTGTCACAGTTGTGCTGTCCCTCAGTGAGACACCCATTGCCTACAATGAAACAACATTGGGCTCTATCTCTGTGCATTAGAAGGTCATATTAACCAATGAATTGTATTGCTTGCTTTTATTCTGCTGAATAAATTGAATATTTTGTTCCATTCTAAAACCTTGGTTTAGAACTTCTCACAGACATGGCAAATTGCTGTGGGATTTTTGTGGCAGCCTGATTAGACCTCTTTTTCCTCGCTTGCACCCTGGTGCATCAGTGCTGTATTTTAACTCTTGTACATGAAGAATCACAGCTGGAGATGAGAGCTGTATGGGCCAGATGCCTCTTGGACTTACTCAGCAAAATGACTACCGACTTCAGTGAGATTTTTGCTCAGTTAATGAATGTAAAAGTGCAACTCTTTATTTTACTATGGTTTCCGTTAGGGCCCTGAATACACAGGCACTTACACATATTCTTAATTTTATGCATATGGACCCTGATTTAGTAAGGTAATCAGGCACATGCTCAACTTAAAATACATGAGTGTTCTCAGTAAAGTCAGTGGAACAATTCGAGTGCATATTAAGTGAATACCTGAGTCTTTCCAAGGTTGAAGCTGATTTTCTTTTTGCAGGTTACAGACACAGAGGTAGGCTTTTAGGACCCTTTCTCTGATTGTGCCACTACAACCTCTAAACAAAGCGAGAAGGAAATCCCATGACTCAACAGGTAAAGGCTGAAAACAACTCTGCAGCGTTAGTGTAAAGTGAATTAAAACTGTCTGAAATCTATCCAAACGATCATAGAAATAGTAGAACATACCCCTATAAAGAGAGTTATGCTTGCCTGTTCCTTGCTCATAAGACAAACATCAAACTGTTTGACCTTAAAAACATTTGACAGGGACAGGAGAGAGCTATCTGTCCAAACCTCCTATCTTCTAGGTTTCTAGTTTACCACTAGAGATTTCTCGGACTCAGACAACTAACTTTGAAGGCTCATGGCCAAAATTCTGTCCCTGTAAGCAGCACAGGGTAGAGGGATTTTAATGAGAGTAGAGGATCCAGCTTTTCCAAGCCATCCTTCTCAAGGCAGGCTTGTTTGAAAGACCGGGAAGAGCAAGCTCAAAAGCACTCCTACACAATTAACAAATAGCCACAAGCACTTCTTACCACATCCAGTGTCATAAGGACCTGGTGGCCATGTCCTTCAACCTGCCAACACTGTCTGCCATTTCACCTCCCCACATAAGGTCTCCCGTCAGGAAGGCATCTGAAACGCCTCCAGACATTATACTGCGCAAGCACGTGGCAGTTCACAGGCAGAAGTTACCTCTACTGCAAGTTCATGTAGCCAGAGCAGGGCGCAACAGAACCTTGTCCTTTATATCAAAACTAATTATTTTATATATACTTTTAAAACTATCTTTTTCTCTCTCACCACACATACACTGTTAATATAAGATCCTGCTTGTATTAGGCGGGGCTACAGACATCTTTGCATGAGTTTGTGTGAGCTAGGCAACTCATGAGTTACTCTGGATACCCACTGATAGAAACTATCTGAGCACAGGCAATTTTGCACAGCTTAGTCCTTGGACTGCCCCTAGAGATAACCTTCTACCATTGCTATCCTATTCAATCTTTCATGGATAGGTATAAATACATCATTACATTCCTCATTTGAAAAGATTCCAGCTAGAAAATATTTCAATCAAAGAGACTTTGCCAGCATGATGTCATCTCAGAATGCTTTGTTTTCAAGAAGTTACAGTCTATGGTTTTAGATACAGGGATTCTGGGACAAATTCTCCCTGAACTGGGATTGCTTTAGGCTTAGAAAAACCACCCTAAAAGATAAATCCATCCATAAAAGGAATGAGCATAGGAAGATCGTCAGCAACATGCAAGCAGTATGTTAACCTTTACCATAGTCATCACCTGTATGGCTGACATAAGGATGCGGCTGAGACAACAGGGACCTCCCTGGGATTTCTGTGAAAGCCTGCTAAGCAGACTTTGTCCTCACAGCCCCGTAGGATCCCCAACATGGACGTATGCCATTTAGAGCAACATTTAAGCTGTTTTAGCAGTGGAATCCAAGTGGCACACAGTGACTGCTGGAATTGGGAAAGTACTGCGCAATACAGAAGTATTAGGGCAAGAATCTCTACTCAACTTTTTGTTTCCATTCTTTTGAAGCTGTATATAAATACTGCTCTGGAAACTATGTCATTGCTGCCCAGTCATAAACTTACCATGTGAGTCATAGACACCTCCTCAACCTGTCTGGAGAGGAGCAAATATTTCTGCTTTTCTTTGTTATCAAATCTGACACGCTCTTCTAATTAATACCCTATTTGTGAGCTGTTACCAAGTACATCTGGTCAGATGCCATGTCAGCATAGTTTCACAGACTCCAGAAAATTTACTTCTCATTGTCTGGCATGAGAGCACTCTGGTCAATGGAATTACACTGATTTTTAAAAAGTATCAACCTCCAAGTGGAAGCCGTTACAGAAAGCCTAGGAGGCATAAAAATGGATAAAAGTAATCGGAGTTAAGATCACTATATGTCACTTACATGACTATAATCTGTAATAAGCTACTTAAAAAAAATTTAAGAAGGATGAAAATACAATAAAAAAGGTCAACCTATTAATGCCATTAATCAACAATTTAGAGAGAGCATCTCTTCACAAGCAAGGGTGTTGGAGCAAAACTACTGGAATCATTCAGCAAACAATCCTATGGGGAATGATGTACCACAAAGGTAATGAGCCACCTAGTTCTTACTTTCATAATAAAATTCTCCTGCTGTTCTTACAGAAAGACTCTGGGGAATGCAATATCCAGCATGCACACCAAGACTTGAAATACACTCTGCAGAAAGCTAGTTGGCCTTTGGATACCATAGGTCCCTAATGTATAAAATATAGCATCTGTATTTAGAAACGACACACTCCATTATGGGCATTATTTAAAGTTCTATTTGACTTTTTAGAGACTTAGGTACACGCTAAATGCCTTTCTTCACACTACTACTTTTCTGAGCTGAAGAAAAGCGGCGATCATGATTAAAAAAAAGGCTTCAGATGACCAAATAGACACAACAGCTCATTTGACAGCTGCCCGGGACACATCTACATTCCCACCACGAGCACGCTCATCCCCAACGCCTACCACAGAAGGGGTCTGGGAGAAAGGAAAGCATTTAACCTCAAACTTTGGACCCCTTGGTAGGAATCTTACCTGATCTGCTTACCAGTTTTGCTATCCTGAATTTGGGAAGCACTAGAGCCTGGCTAGGTGAGAAGGAAGAAAGGGGTTTGGTGCCTCATGGCAATGCTCAAGGAGGGCACAGCCATGGAAGGACAGTTTAGTCTGATCGTATGTTCGTTTATTGCTAGCTTGCTCCTTCCTTCCTCAGACAATGCAAATAACACTGTTTTAAGACATTTTCTGCTAAGTCGGAACATAAATGATTTACTCCACCACTGCATTTGTTTTCCTGTGTACAGCAGAAGCAACCCCATATGGCAAGTGATTTGTTGTAACAGATGGGAATTTGAAGAACATACCTTCAAAACTTGGGATCCATTATAAACAGGCATCAGTACCTAAGGGACAAGAAGCACCACAAATGTTAGTGAAGGACATCTATTTTTATGTAGGGCATAAATCAAAACCTATTGACAGGAAGGAATTTTGGATCTGTCTTTGCCTGTGTGGCAACTATAATTGGTTAATCATCACTAAAACTTTCATGGCTTCAGGATATGACTACAGTACTTTGTCTATTATTTAGACACTTAATTTTAGTGAGGAAAAATATGATACTGCATTACTTTTTAAATGACAGTATAACATAAGTATGCATAGATGTTCATATTTTAAATAAACCCAGAAAGGAATTTTAAAGGTGTACCAAAATCACATACATAAAAATAATATTAGAGCAAATGAGAGAGTAAAAAGGTCATTTGTAGTTGCTGCTTCATTTAACTTTACATAAAATAAGTATATACTTTCTACAAGTAGCATCTGTCATGAGGGACAAAAAGGAAAGAAAGTAAATGTTATTTCTGAACTTAGAAGACAAACATTTTTGATGAGCAAAACAAACATCTGCATTTCACCAATGTCATGTGTAGTTCAGCAGGATTTGGGTCAGTCTAAACGGAAACATTTACTTTACTGCATGCCAACATCTTTTTGTTGCAATTGTAGCACCGCTGAAGTCATACAAATTACGATAAAAGCAAGCTTGTTCTATGTCTCCAAGTCATTTCAGTATAACACGGGTCTGTATTTTATTTCTAACAGTACCAGTGCATCTCAGTACCTTTTGCAGGAAGCCCATTTCCTTGCTTAGAAATCAGCTGTACCAACACTGGCTTGCTGTGCTTGGAGACGAAGGCTGAAGACTGACTGTCTCTATAAGGCAAAAGCATAATTCCCCAGGAGGGAAGAACTCCACAGTTTCGGTTATAGATGGGAATAAGTAGCATTGCTCACCTGTACTGATTGGATTTTGTGTCCTTCAGACATTTCAGAGACACGTTCAGCTCTAATGGAGAGTGGAATTTGGATTTCAGTAATTTAATAGTCTGACCCAGATTCTTTGTGTGTGCGTGACCCACTGCCTTCAGTCACCACGTGTGGGCACATGAGAATTTATGTAAAACAAGCTTGCAAGATTCAAACCTGACATTTGGTTATTTCACACCTGCCAATACAAAGTAGGCATTTTGTAGCAGTAGAAATTGACTTAAAATGAATAAAAATTACCTAGCTTTAAGCTTAAAAAAAATTATTACTTAGGCATTGCTTAAAAAAATGTATCATGTTTAACACATTATTAGGCCCTGGAAGAAGCAACTACCCTTACGTAAACATTATTATATGCTATTTGTAGGGTGGTGGTTTTTTGGTTTTTGGGTTTTTTTTTAAATCTTCAGTTGACAGGAGACTGCCTGAAAAGAGTGGCTCACCACCGTAAGCCAACAGGGAGTCAAAGCTCTCATTCACATTATTGTCAAATGCAGTGGAAAAGCAAACCCCCTACAAAGTGACTTTTTGGGAGAGGGTTGTGCCAGGCTGCACAGTCTGATTGCAGTACATCGGCTCACGCAGTTATTTTCTTTGACCTGCCAAAGTCAGATTTGAAGTGGCATGGAAAAGAATGGTTCAAGGAAATGAAAGTATAATTGTTCTGTCAATTATATTTCTGACTCTAGCAATCACAGGCACATTGCGAGAAGCAAGTTCTTTGTCCATTTCATTATTTTTCTGTTTTGTTTTCTTCCTGGGAAGGAATAATGATGTCTCATTTGCATAATTCACTATAAGGAAGAAAACCACCTTTTTAATAGGAAACAGTAAATTCTGAATTAGTTTGCTTCATAAATGCTTACCAGTGGTTGCTATGGGATGAATAAGGAGGTCTTGAGGACTATTTGGCAGAGCACTCCATATGAGATGGTTAAGTGTTATTCTCCACAGAACTCTACATCGATGACAGTGACATTATGCTCTCAGGGATAACCTGACACTTAACTCTAACATTTCATAAAAATGATTCATGCATTTCAAATGAATAATGAAGTTTGATTTAAGGAAGAACAAAGCTCAAAAAAATTAAAAATAGAGGCCTTATTGAAACACTGTTTTGAGCAATGTTTTCCTTCACTGAAAATTAGGTTCAAGTAAAGCAATAACAAACTTTCTTTGAAACAGAACACCTTCCTTTTCCAACATTTCCCTTTTCCAAGGAAATCTGGTTTGTTGCCATTTAAAAAAAAAAAAGAAATAATCAAATTTGATCAATTTGAACTCTGCAAAACAGAAACAACTTTGAAATGTTTTTCAGCTACCTCTAACCACACGCAGATACTAGAAAACACAATCAAAATAGTTAATTGCAACTTTCCTTTAGAATGAAACCAAGATTTTAGTGATGATAAAACTGCCTTGGATTAGCAGCAGTTAAGGAAAACCCACAATCACAATGGAGTTTCCTTTCTTCCTTGACTTTTCACACTAGAAACACTTCCCTTCCCTATTTTTAAGCAGCAAAAACCCAACCTCTCGACAATGTATTGTCAAGAGCCTGAGTACAGAGTAACACAAATACAGTAGAAGTTACAACATGGGCTTGGATCCATTCAAGTAGACTGGGGAGTGAACTCTTCTCTCCTGGTCATTTCAAGCCTACCATGGCACTGTGAAGGTGGCAGATTTGATACTGGAAGCGCTGCAGAGCTTTGCCTGAATCTCACCACAAACGCAAATATATTTGCTCATATTGTCTTCTTTTTATAGTCTAGGTGTAGGAATCTGCTTATGTTTTCTCACATTAGGTCACATTAATTTTTGCCATTGACTTCAGCAAATGTATTTCTGGTGTAACGCTTCAGGGGAGGGGTGTGCTTCAGGGCAGGGGGGACTGGGCCAGAGGGAAATTAAACTGCATAAACAGAAATAAAACTTCCTAATTTTGTTCAGATGGTTGCAGAAATTTATCCCATGCTTCAACAAGTGTTATTTGTGCATTCAGTTACCACTGGTACAGTCCCAGCACACCACATATTGGTTTCCAACTTGAGAAACTCTGATTATAATAACCCTAACTGAACTCAAGGTTTGTTACAAGATCCTGTGCCTTGCACTGGTCCCACTCTGATCTTCTGTAGCTCACTAAGACCACCTCCTTGGATCTCAGTAAAAGGTTTTGTTCTATTGCATGGTAATACCTGATATACTTGATCTGAATGGAGATTTCAAAGTCTTCTCATACAAATGACTAAAATCTAAATAAAAATATAAAATATTTTCTCCCATTTTCTTATTGCTCTTCAAAGGCATTATCTAAATATCCACTAGTTCAGATACTCTAAACCAATAATATGATTTAAGACTATATAGCCCAATGTAGATGCACTGCTGAGTTCATTAGTGAATTATTCTAACTGGCAATGAACAAAATTTTAAACAAGTAATTCCTAAAATTAGTAGCAGACAGATTAAATATATACAGTATCATAAGAACTTCAAGTTCTTAAAATTGGAAGTGCCACTTACTTCTTCCCCCCGGTAGTTGCACATGCCAAGGGCCTCATTTGGATCAACTTCAGCTCTATAATGCATCCGCATTAGCTGTCTCAGCCAGACTGATAAACCACTCCGCTTTATTAAGTTTCTTAGCCATTTCCCAAAACTCACTACTTCGTCTTTTGACAACTATTCTGATTGCTGTAAAAATAGGTCATGCAATTTGTTAATACATACTATTTCCTGCTCATTTTCAATTCAGTACTCTTGGGATTTGCAGGTGAGCCAATGTTACAGGTCATGAAGCATTACCATGGTGGAACACTCCATGCAGCATGAGACCATGCATGGAGATCACTGTACAGGGCTCGTGAAAATTTCATTAGACAACACTATAAGAAGTCCAACTGTAGTTCAGAGTAATTTTAACTGCCAGTTAAAATCTCTTCCCATTACTACCCAAGACAGCCAAGAATTTCTGCTTGGCCATCCCCAAAGAAATTATTGTTATGCTTTCTGGACCAGAGCCAAGCATCAAGAATTGAAGCCCCAAATCTTCCTTATTCTCTACCTTTCCTTACTAAGGATTAAAACCAACAGTCTTGTTTTTACTAGGTATTTCAGTCCAAATTCTTATTTGTTTCAAAATCCTGTTTGAATGCAGCAAGAGCTTATCATGAGGCAGTAAAATGCCTCTTGACCACTAGTTTCCATATTTCTTCCTAGCTTTTGCAGTTCTAATTTGCATCACATTTCCTAAGCCTGATGTCAGATACAACTACACTGTTATGGCCAGCAATGTTTTATGGCTGAGAGGGAGATTTTTTTGCTAATTTCCATCTACCATGGAAAACAGACATAAACAGGAGAATCCTGTATTGCCTATCTACACTTGTTAACAGAATAAATCTCTGCTTCCTTTTCCTCAGAAACCTCACTGAAAACACCCCTTTTTCCCGTCCTTCATACTCTTACTGATTACACAGAATTTACTGAGGTTTTTCTTTTGTGATACCTAACATGTTTATGCCCTGAAAAAACTGGGGGGGGAATCCAAAGAGGACAAGAAGAAACACTACTGCAAATGTTTTCCAGCTCACCTGATCTCATTTAAATTATTTGCCTTCTCATTTGTTGAGACAACTTTGCCCAAGTGCATGAAAAATCTCAGGGCTCACTGACTTTAGCAGCAACTTTCCTAAACATTTCTAATTGCTGCTGCTGTTATTTTAAAGCTTAACAAGTAGCTGAACTCTAATGCCTTTCTCTCCACTAATATAAAACCCACAATTATCTGCCTGTTGGTTTAAGGATTTAAAATTCTTATAAAGTCTTTGCTGTCAACTTTTCACATAACATTTGGGAACAAAATCCCCCCCCCCCCCCCGCCAAAAAATAAAAAACAAATATAGCCTTTATCACCTTCTGCAATGAAGTCAAATGATACAAATACTTTTCGTGCCATCTTTTTTGCACAAATAAGCAAACAGACTGGAGTTCACAGCTCTGTTTCCAGTTCTCCTTTGACACAGGCAGTGCCTGAGACTTACCAGCTGGAAGTCTGCCAGAGCTTTGAATTGTTCCTTCTCCTTCTTCTGGCTTGGCAAGTCAGCACTTGCTATAAGAGGTAACGAACTACAGAAGAGGTTGTTTTCTTCAAAGCCTGAAAAGGCAGGGGAGAGGGCAGCTGTGGGCTTTTGGTAGGTTGGGTTGGGTTTTTCTTTTGTTGTTTGTTTGGGGTTTTGTTTGGGTTTTTTTGTGTTGTGTTTGGTGGGGTTTTTGGTGGGTTTGGGAGGTTTTTTGCACACAATAAGAAAATGACTATTTGTCCCTTGAGCTGATGTTTCTGACCTCCCTTGGGCTCCCTGGCCTTTTTCCTTATTTGTCTTTAAATAAAGAATATGTGTAGCATCAGATAAGAAAGGGGAGAAGGGAACTGACAGAAATTGAAACTTCTCCAAGAAAATCCAATAAACAGGCATTTGTAATGCAGACATTTCTGAGCCACCTTGTTGACCACCATAAAATTCACCTTTATGCTGCAAATCCACCACACCAAAACATCTAAGACATGCCAGCAAACTGAACCACAAAGTAGTTTGTCAACATACCCAAGCTGCTGAAAACTAGCCTAGTAACTGTTATTTATATTTTAAATCTTTGACAGACAAAAAACAAACTTATTTGGTGCAACATATGCAAATGTGCTATCAAATACTAGTGCCTTTCAGATTTCAAAGCACGTACTTTCTTGTGCTGTTTTCCACATAAATCTTGCCTCAAATAAAGGCATCAGTAATTTTTACTTGATTACACTATAATTATTCAAATATCTTTAATTTTATACTCTGGACTAATTTCCATATCCATTGTTATCATTAAAAGAGATTGTTATAGATAATGTATCTCATGTATTTCCCCTAATTGAAAAATGCAGTGCTTGAACAATAACAGTTATAACAACAACAACATTCCCGTTTAAAGTCTACTTTGGCAATATAGCTGTAATTATTGTACACATAAACTATGGCAAGCCACCCTAATTAATAGCAGAGCAGAAGGACAAGCTTCTGGACAGATAACTTTGTCCTTTTTGCCTGGTTTCTGTTTCTTCACCGTGATCCAATTGACAATGTTGGAACTTAGCCGGGGGCTCACAAAGTAAGCTCATTATTTATAAAACTCTATAATATCCAGGCTATATCCCAAGTAAATTCTGAAGACCCTCCAGAACCAGAAACTGCTCCCCAAAGCTGGACCTTCCAGCAACCAGCGACACCCAGCACAGCCCTGAGTCATGGTGCAGCATCATCTTCTCTGTTAAAAGGTACGCCTTCCCCAAATAACCTTTCTTGTTGGTGGATTCTTGCTGGATATAGAAAGTGAGGAGGGGTAGAACAATTCACCAGAATAAGTGCAGCTAGGAAAAATGAAGACAAGACTTACTTCTTCCCACATCTCCCCCAAAATTTGAAAGAGAACCAAGAAGGAAAATGTCAGACAAAAAGAGTGCATGGAAAAGGTGAGAGAAGTATAAGAAAGGTTAAAAAAATGAGACTGAGACAATAGAGGAAATAGCAGGAAAGGAGGCAAGAAAAAAGAAGGGGAAGATGAACTGTGAGAAAAGGAACCACATGCTGAGAAGAGGAAAACCAAAGGATAGGCAGAGACATAAAAGAATGAAGATGCATGAATTTCATATTTGCCAAACACCAACACGGCTATGAGGAAGAGGTTCAGGTGCCCTGTATTGGAATAAAAGAGAGGGTGGAAATACCAAATGAAATTATTCAAATGAGAAGAAAAAACAGTGTGAATAAAGAGTGGCATTAAGATTAAAAGCTCTTCAGGGGAAAGATTGTCTTTTCATTGCATGCTTTTGCAGAAGTCAGTAGAATAGGTTTTTTAGCATAACTCTTTTCACCGAGTGCTACTTCAGTGCAAATAATTAATAACAGTCAAAATAATTCATAAGACAGATGAGTTTACAAATGATTTTGTGCAGTTCTCAAGGGTAAGTGCTCCTTTCCCTCAACTCGCTACCCAAAAATCACCAGCGAATCTAGCTGCTTCCCTTGACAGCTCATCTTATCTTTCTCCTTTCCTTATTTCAGCTTGAATTATGGGCCAATTAGTATAGTTTCTACCTTATAAGCAGAGCCAAAGAAACCCCCTACAGTTAGGTCTGTGCTGAAGCTGACTGGATGTTGTGTTGAATTTGTAATGAATACCCTTCTTCTGGCACTCGGCACTGCTTTTTCAAAGCCAAGTATTTTGGATAGGTAAATAACAAATGATGGATTTGTCAAATCTCTGGAACACTGGCATTTTACCATGGATATTGCAGTGTCTGATTACCACACTACAGTGTTAATATCTCTTTTTAAATGTATGGTCTCAAGAAAATGAGTTTCCCTACAATCACATTTGACCATTAACTTATACTTACAAAGTATGGACCAGTTCCAGCAGAGCCTACTCACTCTACCCTCATACCGATGTTGTTCTCTTCCATTCCACACACCGGGCTGATTTTTTAGCAAGAACAAAACCACAGAGAATGAAAGCCCAGAGAGTATTATCTGGTCTGGCTGCAGACACAAGCTATGCTCCGAGCTGCCTGGATGCGAATCCACTCCAGCCTAGAATCATGCATCCATGGCTTTCAGCACATGCCAACAGCCCCACCTTCATCAGGAGCACCAGTGTCAGCAGTGGTCTGCCATGGTCCACCCAGCAGCACTGCGTTTCTGGCAGCAAGCTGTCAGCCCAACATGGGAATGATCCTGTGTATCTGCTATCTGCTGTATTTGTCCGTGTTCCAGCTATCCAACAGCACCGTATGTCGTGAGAAAAGGTAGAATTGGGTAACCTTAGTGTTGAAAGCCTTTTGTTATCCTTCTGAGAGCTCCTTCTAGTTTCTTAATATCTTGATTTCTAAGTGAAAATATCCTTCAGGTGCTATTTCTCAAAAAAAAAAAAAAAAAAGGCCCAAAGCCAGACACCAGAGCATATGATCACTTTCTCTTATTGCCCTTTCGAAATACAATAAGTGGACTAGCAAGGATTTCTCTTCTTTTTTTTTTTTTAACAGTCATGCCACTATTGTGCATGTGAATATCTTCCGAAATGCCAGTTGACAGATAGCACTGTTGTATTTCATTAGTGCAATTTTAATTTCTGTAGATGAAATAACTGTAATTGAAATAGAATCAATACAGATTAAAAGGCAGGCAGGCTACTGGACTGATCGTCTCCAAGATCTCTCTCCATCCTTCCTCTGTTGTTACCTATTGACTAAGATGTAAAATTCAAGGCAAAAAATGGAAGGCAGTGGGGATTTGTATTTATAAAAGTAAGTTATTTTGTTCGCCTGTGCATTTTCCAACATTGTGGCCTCTCCATTCTTGAAAAACTGATGGACATATTTTAAGAGAATCAGGGGAAAAAAAAATGAATTCATGTCACCTTTGTACTAGTCTACAACTAATATTTTAGCTTTCTGCTAACTGTAAAGACAGCACATATATACTGTAGATTATTTTTTTTTTGGCAGAGTTAGAAAAGGGTCTGAAATTTCACTAACTGTGTTTATAAGCAGAAGCCAAAACAGTAGATGGGACATCCATCTGTGGACAGAGAGTTTCCTTAATTCACAGAAGCAACTTGAAGAGATTTAGCAGAATGTCACTGTGCTAAAGTTCAGTTGCCACCTCTGCTGTTCTGAGGCCACTGCCACCACAAGTGTTCTTTGGAACTTAATGCATGCATTTTTAAGTCACAGGTTTATTATTTCTAAATAAAACCTCACCACTATCTCTAATGAATGCATTTTTGAGCTAGCAGCAGCTACACTGCAATAGTATGAATTTTTACCAGTGTGCATGCTGATCATGTCTCAGCACATTTGAATGAGCAAGGCTCCCCTGTAATTGCAGTTTTGTTATAAATCCAATAAATAATAATGCAACATGAAATTACATTTGCTCTTTATGCTGTCATATCACATCATAAATTCATATGGAATGATTTGTCTAGGCTCAAACTAAAGGACCCACTCAGCAACCTGCTCTCCAGTTTTTCCCTTCTGTGTTTCTAAATAGTATTCCCTAATACTATTGGGAGAGCTTAAAAATGGGGCGGGGGGGGGGAGTGTGTTGCCTAGGAGGCAAAATATCCTCACATTTTCATAAAAATAAGTGAAAACAACAAATCTGCATCAACTTTCCTTAAATAACAGCAGTCACACAATGGCAGGCAGCAGTACTCGGAGACAGCTGGTCCTTATTGAAATAAGGAAGGGAAAGAGGAGAATACAGAAATCATCATCCTTAAGTCCTGATATGGTTCATTGTGTAAGTTGTAAATGTCTCTAAATAGCTCCTACAATGCTGGACACAGTTTTAGACAAACCTATGATAGAAAAACATTTCCAACTTTTCCTACATCAAGAGAAATATGATTTGTAGCAGCTTCTGGCTGTACTAACATGAGCTAGTACCACTTACATCCAGCAAGTAATTTATAGTTAAGCCTGACTGACACTTCAAGGAGCACCTTTCAGCAACAGGGAGGAACTGATCGGTTTGAAGAATATTCTTAACACTGGATCGGCTTACTCACTTTCAAAACTACCTTCTGATGCAAACCTCCAGCATGTGATTGATCTGACACTAGGTCCCAACAGTCCTTGACAGCCTCCTGCGTCTACTGTAGGCAGTAAACAGCCCGTTGTCTGCTCTTCAGAGGTTCAGCAATTAACAATTCATTTTATCATGCAATATTAACAGCTGTAATAACAAAGCAAACCTGAGCAGCAGCAATATGGATAACAACAAGGTAAAGAAACAAAACCTGCAACACTCAGAAGACATTTAAAAGGAGCTGGTTTCTTCAGAAAACTAGAAGTGGGTTATTCAGGGGTTAAAATAGGGAGAAGGAAGTAGAAAGGCTGGAGCCAGACAAGCTGCCTCCCCAGGGCAGTTCTGGGCTGAGAAGACACAACTGGTTTGACTACTTTGAAACCAAACACCAAAACACATTTGCATTCAAGGCAAAACAGGCACAGGTACCAACCCTGCAGCTCCCCAACACACATCACCTGGCAGTGGTAAAGGTGCCACATACAGAGACCACCACCTTTACCCAGACCCTGGGGCTGCC